GGAAGGGAGCAACTCCGCTTGACAGGTGGAGAAACTGTGACCTCTGAGGACCTGGAAACGCACCAGTGGCCTCTCAGGGAGGAGGGGCTGAGCCTCGGGGCATCTACGTCCTGATTTCTGGTCCAAGTTTGTGTGGAATGACACCAAGAGATGGGGAGACCCTCCAGCCGCCTTCAAGTTGGCTCCATTTCTCAGATCAGGAAACCGAGGCCCAGTGAGCCTGGCCACCCTGCGTCACACCCTCTCATCTGAGAAGTGCCCACTCTGCCAGCACCACCTAGTAAAGACAGCATTGACCTCCCTGTTCATGCTGTTCGCAGGTGAAGGCGCTGATAACTGCTACTGGCCTGTCAGCCTGGGAGCTGAGACTTCCTTTGCACCAGCCCAAATGCCACGTGGGTCCGAGGCTGGCTGGCCTTGCCCCCCTCCCGCTGCCGGAGCTCTGAGGTGTAGCCCAGGGCCCTCATCTCCAGGGAAGTTGGATGGCTCAGCGCAGAGCAGAGGATCCTCCTGGCATCGTGTTGTGCAGGTGGAGGTGGGGCCGGCTGCCGTGATCAGGGCGGGGGCTCCATGGCCGGTCTAGGGTCTCTCCATGAGCTGAGTGTGGGCTTCAGGGTTCTTTTCCTTCTGGGGAAGAGTACCCTCAGTCCCTCTCAGGGAGGGAGCAGGCCTTGCCCTGGAGTAAGGCCAGAGGCAGTGGATGCGGGGGGCGAGGCTGTGGATGTGGATGGACCAGGACCAGGGCCTGGCCCCGCCAAGCCTTCTTTCCTCTGAACCTCAGTTTTTCTCTTCCTAAAGTGAAGCATTGGCTGACAGCATCCTGAGTTCCTGTGAGCTCTGTGGTTGAATCTGACACTCACAGCTCCTTCCAATACCTCACTCAGACCTGCCACCCCTTGCGAGGGAGGGGACTGAAGGGCAGGTTCTGCCCTCCGTCTGTGTCAGCTGCTGTGTGGGCGCTCATTCGTGTACTCATAGACTCACCCACTCATTCATTGACTCAAGGAAAGATGGATTGATTTCTCTGCTCTGTGCTGGGTCCATGGGGATTTAGCGGTGGGTGAGTCTCTGCTGTCATGGAGCTTACTGCTTAGCGGTCTCGAGGCAGGCAGGTTCAGAAATTCCAAAAAGGCTGGCGTCTCTGCCTGGGGTCCCAAGTTGACTTTTCAGGGTGTGGGCTGCTGGGCTGGACCTGGGTGATGGTGCGTTGGAGTAACCCCGGGCATCGATTCGTCCCGTGCTTAGGAGGCAGACATCATGGAGGGGTGAGGGCAGCAATGGAGTGCGGACCCATAAAAGCCCCGGGCCTGGGCACACAAGCTCCTGGCTCTGCTGAGTGCAATGCCAGACAGGTCACTGGCCGGTTCTGTGCCTCAGTTTCTTCAGCCGTAATGTGAGAACAGTAATATTGGCCCCTCCCAGTCAGGTGGGGCTGATGCTTATCACTTGCTGGGCCGGCACAGATTGGGCGCCCAGCAGCCCGGGTCCCCCACAAGCCCATTTGATAAAATGGCATTGGAAGAATGGGAACAGATTCCTGCACTGCCTTCCCCATGGCTGGGAGGACAGGAGGTGGGAGGGTGAGGCGTGGGGGCGACGCGTGCATCCTGAGGACCCTTCACAGGAATGAGTGACGGCAGTGGCTGGCTCTGCTTGGACATTCCTGGCCATCTGGGAAGGATCCCTGTGGGCTGCGGCTCAGGTCTGGATGGGAGGAGACCCCTGGCGACGGCTGGGGCTGTGCGGGCCTGACTCGCATTCCCGATGTTTCTCCCACCCAGATCAAAGAGCCCCAGAGTGAACACACCAGCCACTGAGGAAACTCTCCCGGGGATACTTCATTTCCAAAGCTGCTAGCTGAGGACCCCAGAAGGGCATGTCATAATTTTTAGTTCTTTGAAACCACCTTTAATAGAAGTTTCTTCTGAAAACACAGGCTTTTGGCATGGCAGAGAAGAGCCCAAACTTGACGTGGAATTGCTGGGATCAGATTCCAGCGCTGCCGCGTGCTCCTTGTAGAGTTTTTGGAGAAATATTGAAGCGTTCTCTGCTTTAGTTTCTTCATCTGTTAAACAGGGATAATAACCTGGGCTCCCGGGGGGATGGGGTGGGGGCACAGCAGCAATTTGGGCTCCTGGGGAGGTGGGGGGGGTGTCGGTCACTGCGGGGCACATCGGTGGCGGGGTTGAGACCGGTGGCTATTAGCTATCATTATTCTTTTTTTTTTAATTTTTTTTTTTTTTTTTTTTTTGAGACGGAGTTTCCCTGTTGTTACCCAGGCTGGAGTGCAATGGCACAATTTTGGCTCACCGCAACCTTCCGCCTCCTGGGTTCAAGCAATTCTCCTGCCTCAGCCTCCCGAGTAGCTGGGACTACAGGCGTGCACCACCATGCCTGGCTAATTTTTGTATTTTTAGTAGAGACGGGGTTTCACCTTGCTGACCAAGATGGTCTGGATCTCGTGATCCACCCGCCTCGGCCTCCCAAAGTGCTGGGATTATAGGCGTGAGCCACTGCGCCCGGCTCAGCTATCATTATTCTTAATGCCGGCAGCTGCTGTGGCTTAGGGTCATGTCATGTTTGCTACTAGATATTTAATCATCAGCATCACATCATCGTGGACCGGGAAACAGGTGTGTTGAAGTTGAGGGTTGCCAGTGCAGAGCCGAGCGTGGAACCCGAGCGGTCTGACCTCAGATCAGGGTCCTTTTCCTTGATGACTGCAGAGTCAGGGCTTGGTAGGGCTGCCTGCTGTGTGGCTCCTCCAGCGCTGGCCCTTCCTGGGTGACCTCCTTGTTTCAGCCCTGGGCAGGGACAACCCCACAGGATCTCAGAGTCCCATTCGGCTTGGCCGCTTGAAGCCAGTAGAGTGATTCTGCCCCCAGCACAGAGAGGAAGTAGGGTCTCCTGATAGGGGGTGGTGGTGTGGGTTGGGGGCACTGGCCTTGGCCCAGCTTCACTGCAGAAATGATCCTTCCTTTGGGCAAAGTCACCTGTGTTTCTTCCAGTGTGCGGTGTGAGTGCTTGTCATATGGCAGGTGCTGGGCCCTGCGCTGGGGAGAGAGACAAGGTCCCCACCCTGAGTGATTTCTCACCCAGTCATGGAAGCAGACCCTGTGAGCTGTGTGGAGTTGCAGGGAGCCCAGCAGGGTTGGAAGGGCGTGTGTGGAGGGGGCATTGAGCCCAGTGTGGGGGGCCTTCCTGGGGATGGTGTGAGTCAGACTGAGGTCTGAAGGTCTAGGAGGAATTAGCTAAGCAAATAGGGCCGGGGGTTCGGGAAAGAGCATCCCAGGATGAGGAGTGTCTTGGGCTAAGGTCCCAAATGCTGGGCTCTAGAAGAGAGGGTGGGCTGGTGGGGACTCTCCCCTCGAGGGAGGGGGAGGAGGAAGCAGTATTGCTGGGTGACTGGTTGACCATCCACAGTGGCAGAGCTGGAATGTACAGGCAGGAGTGATGGGGACGTGAAGCCAGCCTCACGGCAGGGTGGGTCTCAAACCTAGCAGTCTGCAGAAGGGCAGGGTGCCCTCTAGAGCCGAGCTGTGCCCCTTGAAGCGAGGGCAGAGCCTGGATCTCGCTGCTCCAGGATCAGATTGGCTGGGGATTTCCTCCCGAACGGGGCCAAATCAAACAGACTTTGAGGTGCCCTCCAGCTGCCACACTCTAGCTGCACAAAATCCCCTCTGGGCATGGCGTGACTGTATAAAACATGAACCAGTGGGTTAAAGTCCACACCTTGTCAGCCTTCCCTCTCCTTAGCGGGTTCTGGCTCCGACAGCAGGCTGTGAGCTGACGAGAGAAAATCGCTTTGTTCCTGAGCATGGCATAGCCAGTCTGGCCTTGATTGACAAAGTCTGGCTTTTTAAAATCATCGCCGCCTCTAAGATGCACTGTCCTATCTCAGACGACAGCCCCTCCTCACATCTTCCCTGCTCGAGTCACCAGGGAAATAAAGGCAGGTCAGCCCAGCTGCCATCTGTGGAAACGGCGGCTTAGGACGGAGTCCAGGGAGCTCTCTGTTCCCATGGAGGAGCCTGACCGTTGGGGATGACCAGGGTGGTGACCTCAAAAAACCAGGCTAACAGCTGCTCCAAACCCCATGGCTGTTCCCATCTTACCTCCTGGGGCTCCTCTGGCAGTGAGTGAAATGAAATTTGATGTATATGGAAACGCAGTGGCCGGTGAAGTAATTGGGAAAATCTTTTCCCATCAGGGCTGGTGCATCCTCATTCCCCACCCCCCAGCCTTTTTTTTTTTATTTACACATTTGTTTCAAAAAATAATTAGGTTGTCCCAAACACAGTTGTGTTTTCTGCACAGGCCTGAAATGCAAACAGCGTTGTTAGATAGGGCCCTGTGTGTGATGAATGAATGGATGGTTTCAACGACAATGAAAATGGGTGTGTGCCGCTGACAAGTCCTGGGCCCCCAGCATCTTGTCTGTGCCTCCCAGCCACCACTCCAGGACAAGTAATGACAGGCAGGCCGTAGGGACCTGCTTTGGTCTTGGGTGGCAGCCCCGGCAGCTGTTTCCAGCAGGCTTGGGGGATCCTCGAATGCGCTGATGGAGACAGAGCCCATCCCCAGAAGCCTTGCCAAGTGCGCGCCATCCTCATTCCTCCATCCACACCAGGGTGGGGTCAGCACCCTGGTCACAGGGACCGCTGCCCCGCCACTCCCTTTGCCACAGTTCGGGATCATCCAGGGGTGGGTTTGAATGATTTCCAACAAATGGCAGCTGCTGTTTGAATTTCACTGGATTCCGATGTCCCTGAAGTCATTCTGCAGAACACAAACACGTTATCAGAGCAGGAGCAAGCCCACATCTACAAGCTCTCATGCCGGGTGGCCTGGAGCCTCCCAGGGATGCTGACTGAGAGAGGCCCCCGGGCGGCTGATGTTTAGAGACCCCAAGTCCTGGCAGGGAGTGGCGTCATTGCGTCTCTCTTTGAGAACCTGGGAACCCACTGATTTCTGCCTTTTACTTTCTGTTAACACCACAGGTGATCTTGATCCTGACGAAGTACTACCACGCAGACATGGGGAAGGTTCTGGAAAGCTCACTGTGGCGGTAAGTCAGCCCGAGGGCAGACCTTTATCCTACGCACCCGCGCGCCGTCTTCCCAGACTCTCAGCTGAGGACCCAGATCCAAACGCCTCGCGGTCACAGCCCCTGTGAGTCGGTGGCCTCACAACTTTTCTTTGGCTAGAAAATGCACCATGGAACAGTTGAAAGCAGCTGCCCCGTTTGGGCAGTGGGTTCAAACGGTGCTGCGGAACAGGCGACTGTTGAGAAAGCATCTTGGCTTTCTTCTCTTTTCTTTCTGTTTTTCTCCCGCTCCCTTTTCTTCCTCCCGGGAGGAGGAGGGTTTGCGTCGTGAATTCAGGTCAGTGCACAATTTCGCTTTGCTTGTGCTGAGAACTTCACACGCAGCTCCTGGAGTCCACCAAAGGCTCTGATTATCCACATTGTTTGGATGCTTTTCTTTCTTCCAGGCTTAGCCGAAGAGCTTGGTAAATAAATAAGCCACTGGCGATGGGGTGATATCTCTTTATGTGTGAAATGTGAATTCAGCCCAGGAACATGAGGTTGCCCCTTTAATGTTTTAAATGAGATGAGAAAGAAGGAGGTTTTGAGAACCCATTTTGGTCATCATCCCCTTCAATATTTACGTCCGCTCACCCAGGGAGGGTGCAGATGGTTCGCAGCGTCTGGGCTGGGGTTTCAAGGCTTTTTTCCTGTGGAAGATTCTCTCTCTTCCCTGCCCCGATTACCACCTCCACGTTTTCTGAGTGTGAAACCATTTTGGTTTCCAACATACGTTTCTCAAGTAATAATTAATTCATTTTTCCATTTGAAATCCATAAAAAGATGCCTCTACCTGCTGATCAGGTTCTGGAGTTGATTTCTTTTCCATTTTTGGCTTTGCTTTTAGCTAAGGGGTTTGAGGATTCTTTCTGTTGGGTCTTGCTGAGGGATTTCTGCGATGCTGGAACGTTGTTGAAATGGTGTCTCGAGTTGGGTTCTTTCTTTGTTGTGGAATGGCATCGCCTGGAACCCTCCGGCCTGGTCATCTGTGCTGCTGAGGAGGCCAAGCTCAGGGGTTAAGACACTCACATTCCCCTGAGGGATCCTCACCCGCTCCCAAGCAGAAACGCTTTTCCTAGAAGCTCCTCTCAGGGTGGACCCACCTCCCTGACCCACTGGTCTCCTCTAATTCCATCGTCACCACCAGAAAATGGGGGGTGAGCAGTGGGTCACAACCCTGCGTAGAGGACAGGTGTTCCCTGCCACGGCCCCCCGTTACCTTATGTGCTGGTGGGTTGCTTTAAAAATGTCTCACTCCTCCAGTGCTGGGCGAGGCACTGTCCCCTGCTTCCAGACAGGAGCGGAAAACAGTGTGAGCTCCGCTCTTTGAGAATTTAAGTTCCAAGACTGGTTTGGGGCCAACACCCCTGGACAGGGCAGGCCTAGGGAGAGCACCCTCACTGCTGGGCAGAGGGTCTCAGGACGGGTTCCTCGGTGACAGTGGACAGAGCTGGTCAAGTCTTCTCTTCCTCCCAGCAAAGACCCTCAGTTACCCGATTTGCCTCAACTTGGCAAGTCCGTCAGGCGCTGGGTGCAGCCCTCCTTGGCATGGAGGGATCCGTCTGCCTGGGGCTGCCCCCAGAAGTTTCCAGAGCGCCTGCCTCCCTCCCCTCACTGCAGCCTGTCAGTGTGGCTGGACGTGGAGGCAACGAGACTGTCTCAAGCGTCGTCTGAACGGGGAGCGATCTTTCCCGGTGTGAGCTGCTGGGTTAGTTCACTTTTGCTGGAGTCTTGGTGCTGTGGGCGTGGGGTGGGACCAACTGTGGCTGACGCTGTGGCATGGGGCCCAAGACCCCTCACTTACAGGCTCCAGACAGGATTTTTCAGAAGCAGGTGGCAGCTGAGAGGCCAAACCACCCACTCTCAGCTGCTCCGAGGGCGGGGTGGTGGGGGATTCCTTCTCCTCCAGGGAGCCTCGGTCTCCATATCCATAAAATGGGGATAAAACGCCACTGAGGGAAGTCATGAGAACTGAATGAGGAAATGTGTGAAATGCTCCTAGAGCAGCACATGATCTAAATCGAGTTTTTCTCCAAAGGAAATCAACAGATTTTAATTTTCCATGTTCCTTTCCCATCACCGTGTCTATACCCAGACGTTTCTTCCCCTTTATTAAAAATGCATGCAGAGACATTAGGTCACCGAAGTTCACCCCCCATCCCTACCCATTGGAGCAATTACTTGCTGTGTTTATAGTATCTTTTTTGATGCTAACATATTTATAGAGACACAGAATGTAGTTTTGTATTCTTCTGATCATTTATAAAATACGTTTCCAGTTTTTCCACGGAGTGACAGGGTCTGGGGCATTCTTTCTTTTATGGCTGGTATGAGCCCCTGGAGTTGGTTTGTTCTAATACTTAGCTGTCCCCTTACTGATGCTGCCATAAAAAATGTAAGCAGGTAGTTTTCCTTTCCGTTTTGTTCCCTGGGATGAATCAGTTACATGGCTGAGCCGGGGAGTGTGAGTGGATTTACAGCCGGCGTGCTGTGGCTCTCAATTCTTCCTCAAGATGAATGTGCGTTCCCACCCGGCCAGTGCCCTGCGTCCTGCCGACGACGTTCTAACTCCTGCTCACTTGACAGGAGGAGCTGAGGGCAGGAAGGGAACCACATTGTGGTTTTAATTTGCCTTTTTAAAATTTCCTGGTGAGGAGGAACAGTTTTTCGTGTTAATTACTGCTCACATTTTCTCCTTTGCACATTACCTGCTCCCATCCTCACCCTCTGTTTTGGGACTCAGGCAGGAAGTTGGTGTTGAGAGTGGAGAGCTTGCCATCACTCTTTCTTCAAGATGCCACCCCCTCCCGCCCCCACCCTCTGTCTGCGTAAGAGGCCCTTGTGGATGGAAGGCTGGCCGTGCCCGCCTCTGCAGAGCACATATTAAATAGGGCTATTAAAGACACAGTTAATGAATGCACACGGAGTCTCCTAAGAATCCTTCTGTGTAATTGCAATAAATACATTTTTAATGACAGGTATGGTATTTTCATTCTGGAAGTGGCTCTCTGAAATCTAAGCTGAATGTGTTTTTAATTGTCCTGCATTTAACGGGCGTGCATCAGCACCTCCTCCCTCCTGGCTTCGATGGTGATCCATTGATCTGCCCCTTTCTTCCGTGGTGGTGATGGGGGTCTTCTGCTCAGTCTCAGGCCCCCTTGAATTGGTGCAAGAGGCTGGGGGTGAGGAGGGGAGCAACACGCTTCCCTGGTTGGCGTCAGGGTTTCGAGTCTGCAGGGCATGCTCCTCCACGTGGCCTTGCCCACCCAAGCCACAGAAGCCACGGAAGGTTGAGCAAAGCCCGACGTGTAGGCTGCAGGGTCTTAGCAGAGGCATAAAGAACTCACTTAGAAAAGCCCTTAAAAAGTGCTGCAGCTCGGGCCAGCCAGGGAAGGTGCAGGTGGAGTGCAGTCCTCCCAGAGGCTGTCCCTGGGAGAGTGGTACGGGATAGGCTGAGCTAGGGCAATGCGTCTCAGACCCCAGAGGCACTCGAGTCTCCTGGGATCTTCCTGCAAGGAGCACCTGGTTAGACTCCACCGGCCTGGAGGGTGGGGCCCAAGACCTTGCATTTCTAACAAGCTCCCAGGTGCTGCCCAGGCTGCTTGTCCGGGGACTACACTTCAAGTAGCCAGAGGTTGGGTTGGTTAGGACTGAGGTTTAAAATCCTTCCAGGGTGGCCGGGCGCGGTGGCTCACGCCTGTAATCCCAGCACTTTGGGAGGCCGAGGTGGGTGGATCACGAGGTCAAGAGATCGAGACCAGCCTGGTCAACACGGTGAAACCCCGTCTCTACTAAAAATACAGAAAATTAGCTGGGCTTGGTGGCGCACGCCTGTAATCCCAGCTACTCAGGAAACTGAGGCAGGAGAATTGCCTGAACTCAGGAGGCGGAGGTTGCGGTGAACCGAGATCGTGCCATTGCACTCCAGCCTGGGTAACAAGAGTGAAACTCCGTCTCAAAAAAAAAATAATAATAATAAATAAATAAAAAAATCCTTCCAGGGTACTTGGAATAATATCCAAACCACAACCCCTACAAAGACCCCAACCCCAGCTCCTACCCCATCCCCAGTCTCAGCTCCTCCCGCTCTACCTTTTACTGTTCAGTGTCCAGCGACAGTAGCCTCTTGGCTGACCCTGGACTGCACAGAGCTCAGTCCCTGTAAAGACTTGTGTGTGCCATGGGCGCTGCCTGGAGTGCACGTGGCACTGACCCCAGGTACTGGATCCTGCCTCGCATTCAGTCTCCCCATAAACCTCTTCTTCAAAGAAGCTTCCCTCACTACTCAGTGCAAAGAGGCTCCCAGGCATTCTTTATAACCTCTCTCATTGAAGTGTGGGAGTTTCTGTTTATGGTTTGCCCCACTACCGCCACCATTAGAACATAGGCTGGTTGAAGATGTGAGGATGGAGACCTGTGGGTTTATCTTACTGATCACCAGATCTCTAAAACCAAACTCAGATCTGGCACAGGAGGTATATGTTGGGCATTAGATGAATGAATTGATGGATGGACAGATGAATGGGTGGATGGATGGATGGATGAATTGATAGATGGGTGGATGGTTGGACAGATGGATGAATGGATGAATAGATGGATGGGTGGATGGATGGATGGAAGAATAGATGGATAGATTAATGGATAGATAGATAAATGGATGGATGGACAGATCAATGGATTGATACGTGGATAGATAAATGGATGCATGGATGAATGGACTGATAGATGGATTGATGAATGGATAGATGGATGGGACAGATGGATAAATAGAAGAATGGATTGATGGATGCGTGAATGAATGGATAGGTGGGTGGATGAATACATGGATAGACGGATGGATGAATGGATGGATAGATGAATGGATGGATAGATGAATGGATGGATAGATAAGTGGATAAATGGAGGGACTGATAGATGGACAGATGGATGAAAGGATTGATTGATCAATAAATGGATGGACTGACTATTGGACAGACAGATGG